TTTTGGTGACAAATCTATATATTGAATATGAAATATATTTTGGATATAATACCCAAAAACTATTAATAGACATACAGACAGACCAGACAATCAATCAGTCAGTCAGTCAGTGAGTCCAGTGGTCAGTCACCAGTGATTTCATGTGAATAATAATAATAATAATAATAATAAATAGTAATAATATTTTTTTCATATTATTATTATTATTATTTAATCGACACATACATACATACACAGAATAAGCTAAAAAAATTTTATTTTATTACATATTATTATTGAAATTATTTTCAAAAAAAAAATTTTTTTTATATTAAACATACGAGACATTAATTTTAAAATTATATATATTTTTTGGGTATAATTTTCTCTATAAATTATATATATATATATATATATATTAAATGATGATAAAAATAGTGTAAAAATTTAAATTCAAACAACAATGTGATGTACAGTATGTATATGTGTATCACACTTGATGTCATATGAATTTGTAATATACAGTATATACTATATATATATAATAAAATATTGGTCTCAAATTTTTTGAGGTGCAAAATATATTATACTTTATATATATATAACTTATACAGTATTTTTAATGCAATATATTTATGCTGGTTATGAATGGCATACACACACACACACACACACACACATCAGTGGAGAGAGAAAGTAACCAAAAAATAGTATGAAATATATTGATATTTTAAGCCACAAAATGCCATAAACTATCAGATGATGTGATTGTGATGTGTGTGTGTGTGTGTGTGTGTGTGTGCTCTATGTGTGCGATCCCTGGATGTGATGTACAGTATGTGTCTGTGCTGTCAATGCCTGTACTTTACTTTACTCTCTCTCTCTCTCTCTCTCTCTCTTCTCTCTCTCTCTCTCTCTCTCTCTCTCTCTCATAACTGACCCATACTTTTCCATCAATTGTATGTTAGGCTATATTTTAAGAGAGAAACGTTAGTTTTCAATACCACTAGTACTGTGTGTGTGTGTGTATATTCACCCAACACTGAGATTATAGTTGCAAACCGTTGTCGTAGTCATCGTCGAGTTGGTAGCCCTTAGCTCTCTCTCTCTGTGTCATTGAATAGGCTGTCAAACTGAATATATACACAACATTTATAACATATATATACAGCACACACACACATATATACCCAGTGATACTACTGATACACAATGTTTAGGTGGTATAGACATACATGTATTGCCATTGCCATTGAGTTTTTCCTCAAACTATTGACTGAATACTATATATATAGTGTAATACCTCTTATCACAAGAGAGCAGACGGCAAACTCGGCAACAAAAGCTCAGTCATCCAAACGGCACTTCCATTCAATTCATACCACACCAGACCAGTCATCTAAGAGAGAGAGAGAGAGAGAGAGAGAGAGAGAGAGAGAGAGAGAGAGAGAGAGAGAGAGAGAGAGAGAGAGAGATTGAGAGAAAGTTATGCTATTAATGATGAAAAAGTAAAATACAAATGTATTGTGTATTCTGTGTGCAAACATTACATATATTTTGTTATGTTATAGAGTGGGTGAGTGAGTGAGTGAGTAAATTGCTTAAAGAATTATATAATTTATATATATATATAAATATATTGTTTTCAATAACATATATATACGGTATATACTGTATTAATATAATATATTTTGTTTTGTTTTTTTAATTGCAAACATTTATATACATTATTATATAACATTATATATCATATATACTGTATATATATTTATATACACTGTATATATTATATATATATATATAAATGACAAGTTTTTGAAAAATGTTTGTTTGCAAAAATTTTATGCTATTTTTATTATTGATTCAGTCATTCATACATTGAATTCAATTCAACTCAATAACAACAACACAAATATGAAATTAATCAAAATTAACATTTTGAATAAAATTGCCATTTATTTTATAAAAATAAAAAATAGTTGTATATATACTGTACTTAATATATATATAAATTTATATTATGTATTTAAATTGTTTGCTATATATATATATAATACTTAAATAATATACTGTACATACAGTGTATAATATTATATATGTACTTAAATATTATATAAGATTAATGTTAAAAATGCAGGTAAAACATAAAATAAACATTGTTAAGGGTTATATATATATATATAAAGTTTATATATTATATAAATATATATATGGGGGCGGGGGTAAATAAACAGGGATATGACATGTTATATGAGAAAAGTTATATAATATAACCAGAGAGTTAAGAAATAATAATAATAATAATAATTTTTCTATTGAATTGAATAAAGAGAGAGAGAGAGAGAGAGAGAGAGAGAGAGAGAGAGAGAATAAATTAAAATAGCAAACAAATAAACAATATTTGCTAACAAAACAAGTGTATGTAGTATTATATTACACACACAAATTGATTTCAATTTTCATATTATATCATATAGTATATCATATAATGTTTATAACATACACTATAGTAGTTATACACTGTGTGTGTGTGTGTGTACTGTATATACACAACAACAACAAAAAAGTGGTATTTTTCTCAATTCAATTCAATTTTTATTTTATTTTTTCTCTCTCTATAAAAAAATTCATTTCAATTTTCTAAACTAAACTTTTGTATGTATAATACAAACACAACAGTAAAAGTATAGCTGTTATTAGGATTTTTTTTATATTATAAATATTATTATTATTATTATTAAAAAGACAGTTCAATAATGAGGTTAAAATTATTTGAATTTTTTTTATTTACAGTAAAAAAAGTGAAAAATCTTTTTCCTATTTTGTTTGTTTGTTATTTTGTTTGTTTGTTTGACTAATTGTGCATTTTTTGTTGTTGTATAGTTGTCTAATATTTTTGTTTATGTGATGACATTATATATTATTATCATTATTTTTTGTTGTTGAATAAAATTAATTGCTTAAAAATCTATATATATATATATAAGACAAATGTCTGTATATAAAAATTATATAAATTATATATACGTTTACACTATATATATGTATGTTTAAACTTTTACCACTATTATTGTTATAATAATAAATATATGGTTTATATATACTTTTATATAAATGTTTAGTGGGTGGTCATTGATATATGATATACAATATATTATATTATATATATAAATGTTTTATAATCGATGAGTGCATACCACTTGACTATAGTTTTATATATAATATATATTTCTCTCTCTCTCTCTCTCTCTCTCTTATAACTTATATATATATATATAACTATAACTTATATTTTATGTGATACTATGGTTACACAATAGATATCCAGGCGTTTTGCAAAAAAATAAATAAATAAATAAATACTATATATTAGACACTCACTCACTCATGTAGTCAATGATTTTAATGGTGCGGTTTAAGCATTAGATTACAAAGTTTTGGCCACAATTTTATTTTAGTTTTTTTTGACTACAAAATACTCGGTATATATATACCTATTGAAAGGTAGTATTTTGTGTCAATTTTATTGTGTGTTCAGTCTCAGTGATGATCTGAGCGCCGGTATGTATGAATGCCGTAGAGAGAGAGGGAGAAAGGGGGGGGGGGGGAGTGGGAGGCGATAATGATAACTGAGAGGTGCTATAAAAAACATATATATACTATTATTTTGTAGAGCAAGTGTGTGTATGTGTGTGTGTGTGTGTGTGTGTGTGTGTGTGTGTGTGTGTGTGTCGTATACTATTATTATTATTTGTTTCAGGGTCCACCAAGTCTATCATGTTTTTTTTTGTGTCCAGGGGGTGGCTGGTTGGTTGGGTTAGGTTAGGTGACCATATACTATAATTGATACTATAATATCATAGAGAGAGAGAGAGAGAGAGAGAGAGAGAGAGAGAGAGAGAGAGAGGTGTTTGTACCCGCAATAAAAAATAATATATATAACCCCACGGATAACCACAAAACAAAATGACATACCTCTACAGTAGATAAATAATATATGACTACAATATACTGTATATATATATTTATTATAATAAACACCTCCTAAATGCACACAATTCCCAACCTCCCTATCCCTTCAGCAAAAAAAAAATATAAAATAAAATAAAAACAACACTCATTTTCTGTGGTAAAACCACCAGATTTTTATGATTACATACTCACTCACACACACACACACACACACACACACACACACAGTCATAATGTTTTATTTTTGTGAAACGACTATAACTTTTTATTTTATCTCTATTATACACACACATACACACACACACACACACACACACACACACACATACATACATACATACATACATACATACATACATACATACATACATACATACATACATACATACATACATACATACATACATACATACATACATACATACATACATACATACATACACACATACACATGAGTTTAGGGTCGTGTTATTTTTCTCCCAGTATTTTATTTATAAGTTATATATATATATTTATATATATTTTTCTCTCTATCTATCTATATGTATGTTGAAAGCCCCCCCTACCCCCACCACCACTCTCCCCTACAAAATAAATGATGAGCGCACATATAGTTAAACACATAGTAGTATTAGTACAGTACATGTACTATACAATTGCCATTACAATTACATCAATCGAAAGGTTATATATTATTATTATTATTATTATATATATAAGTGTTAGTGCCCCACAAAATGGTCGGTAAAAAGTGACCCCAAATTATTGTATTATTTTATGTTTTTGAAAGAGAGAGAGAGAGAGAGAGAGAGAGAGAGAGAGCTATATTTCCTGTGAATTAAGTTATTAAGGAGGCGGACACATAAATCTGTGTATTATATATATATATATATATATACATAACTTATATAATATCATATATTATATATACATACGTTTATCATTGCGCGCCTATTCATATGCTGCCTGTTGAGTCTATTTTATTATTATTATTATATTTATTACCCCCAAAAAAATATWTATATGTAATAATTTTGTTATTATTTTAGGTATGGTTTCAAAACCGCCGGAGCAAAGAGCGCCGTATGAAACAGCTGAGCACAATGGGTGCCCGGCGACACTTTTTCCGCAGTCCCCGTCGGGCAATGCGACCGCTGAGGCCAGGGTTGTCGCCCGACGGACTGGAAGATTCACCCGAAATGATGGGCGGACCTAACAATGGTTTCGGTTATTTTTCAGGTAATTGTTTGTTTTGTTGGTTGAATTCATGTATATTATATACATATAGATATATATATAGTTTTTTTTGGTTGGTAGTAGTATTAGATTTTTTTTCGGGACGGGGGGGGGGTTTATCGATGGTGGGGGAAGTGGTAGGGATATCCTCCTCCCTTCCCCCCCCCAATTTCTCGCCTCAATTGTTTTTTTGTGTGATTTCTTCAAACATACCGGTAGTATATATATATATAATAGGAGGGCTCTTGAGATACATAAGTGCCGGTGTTGTTGTGTGTGTGTTTGTACTGTATGAGTGAATAAAGTATTATAACTTTATATATTGTATATACAGTATTAAGGGGACGACATGTATGTATAGTAGGTATTGAAAGCAACAACAAAAAAAATTGCTCTTTTCATATGATATTCAAGAGTTTTCTTGAATTTATATATAAAACTTTTTTATTATTATTTAAATATATATATAAAAAAAAAATCACAAACATTTCACTTAACAATAGCATATATATGCCGTATATATGTATATATTGTTTGAATTGA